AAGAGTTGAAAAGGTATTTGCAACAGCAGTTTCATACAAAGGATTTGGGTGTTCTTAGATATTTTCTAGGTATCGAAGTAGCACGGGCGAAGAAAGGTATTTATATCTCACAACGAAAATATGTTCTGGATTTGCTTACGAGACAGGTATGCTAGGTGCTAAACCACTTGGATACACCAATGGAAGTGGGCTCTAAATTGACAAGAGAAGATGGTGAGTCTGTTGGATGATCCGCAGAGGTATCGAAGACTTGTTGGAAAGCTAAATTATCTGACTATCACTCGACCTGATGTTTCTTTTCCAGTGAGTGTTGTGAGTCAGTTTATGTCTTCTTTCCATACCTCACATTGGGCTGCTGTAATCAAAATTTTGAGATACTTGAAGAAAGCTCCCGGTCGTGGTCTCATTTATCAGGATCATGGTCACAGAAGGGTGGAAGCCTTCTCGATGCTTGATTAGGCGGGATCTCCTATAGATAGGAGGTCTACATCGGGTATTGTACCTTTGTAGGAGGAAACCTAGTATCTTGGAAGAGTAAGAAGCAAAGTGTTGTGGCTAGATCAAGTGCGGAATCGAATACGAGCTATGGCTCAAGCTACCCGTGAGCTAGTTTGGATGCGTCAATTATTAGTTGAACTTGGATTTGAAGACCCTGCACCAATGGAGTTGTGGTGTGATAATCGAGCAGCTGTCCATATTGCCTCAAATCCAGTTTTCCATGAGCGTACCAAGCATATCGAAGTTGATTGCCACTTTGTCCGTGAGAAACTTCAAGCTAGAGTTATTTCTACTAGTCATGTTAGGACTGGTGAACAACTAGCTGATATTTTTACCAAATCTCTAGGGGGAAGTAGGATTGAGTATATTTGTAACAAGCTGGTCATGCTTGATATCCATGCTCCAGCTTGAGGGGGAGTGTTAAAGGGTATAATGGTCTTTGGGATTTTGATGTGTATATATATCGTATTTTCTGATCAATAAAATATATATCATTATTCTACTTACAGATATGTTGCCCAGGAAGCTCGGAATTTGACCCCGTAAGTTGTTGAAGCCAAAAAACAATTGTTGCAACTTTGGAAGGGGCCATTGTTTGCTAGAAAGATTTCTTCCACATTCGGAAGGCTTAGATAGCCACCTGAGGGAAGGCTTCCGGAGAGCGAATTGTCCATTAAAGGAAGCAGTAGGAGTGAAATAATATTGAAATCCTCTTGAGGCACTTTGCCTGTTAGCAAATGATCCTGCAGGCTCATTTCATTCAGATTGACAAAAAAGCCAATCTCACTCGGAGCGTCACCTCCGATGCAGTTATATTCTACGTACAGTTTGTGCAAGCTTGACATATTACTGATGGTTTGAGGAATCATGCCGGTCAAGTTGTTAGCACGGAGAAGGAGCTCCTGCAACTTTTCGCAAGCTGTCTATATCTCAAGGAATGCTTCCCTGAAAATAACTGAATGACAATGACAACACGACAAGCTCTTTGCATTGGGTTAGCGTCTCTGATAAAAGGCTGCTGAATTGGTTTTCAGACAGTAAAAGCCTCTGAATCTTAGGCCAGTGGTAGCAAAGATCGATGGGAACACTCCCTGAGAGATCATTATACGTCAACCTGACACTTGTGAGCGATCTATCAAAAAGTGTCAGAGGAATCAAACCTGTGAGATTGGCCATGATCAAACCAATGTCCTGCACTGTGGATATGGCCCAGGAAGCTCAGAATTTGACCCCATAAGTCATTGAAGCCAACAAACAGATGTTGCAACTTTGGGAAGGCGCCGAATTCTCTCGATATGCCACCGTTAGATTTTTCACCGCAAGTGACATCAGTTCGAGATATTGGCACAGCACTAAGTTAGGAGGAATGCTTCCTTCGAACTGGTTCGACAGGAGTACGAGTTCTTTCAGGCTGCGTAAATGACCATTTTTATTTGGAACCGTGCCATAGAAACTGTTGTTGCAAGATCAAAGAACCAGGAAAGAGAGATTGCCGAGGTAAGGAGAGAGTCTTCCCTGGAGACCCGAGGAGGAGAGGTCTAATGCCGTGACATTCTGCCAGCGGTTGCTGCAGTCCATTCACAGAAGTTTGCATCGGTGGTCCAATTGCTGCCTTTGGTCGTGTTTGTTGAGTCAACTTCGGTCGCCGATTTGAAGTGAGGACAGCCTCTTGATCAATGAAGTCGCTGGAACAAATGACGGGCTGAAACATCAATAAGGAAGCGAGCAGAACTTCACGAAATGCTAAAAGGATGAACTTCTCCATAATGAAGAGACTCTTTTGATTGAACTTGGAGAACCTTTAAACCATGTCTGATTCTGTATGTGACCCGTTCTGTACTTTTGTGATAACTAGGAAGAGTCAGCATGTTGCTTCGACTACAAGAATTGCTTCACAAGTTTTTTAACTATTAAAAGATATTTCTGTGATCTTAAATCTATCTTAGAAATTCATATACAATGTATGATGTGCTGCTCTCATTTGATAAAGTTTTCGATGGGAAAAACATGGTTAAACATTGATCTTTTACTTTTACTTTAATTTGTAATTTTTGAGATTTGACTTTTATTTAATGTTATTCGCCTTAATGATTTTGAGTTACACATATTGATATTTGAAATCTATTTAGAGTTGTGTAAAATCTTTTTGTAAACTTTTGAAAGAATGCAGTTTTTCATTTCGGGGACAAAGTCAGGAATACTTTCAATAAGTCTATCCAAGCATGTCCAAGCATCTCTGAGCTTTGTTTGTAATATGTGTTATTACAAGCAATGCTCCGTATGAATAAAAATATTGGAATATATAAGATATTCACTTATATCATAAAAAAAACAACGCTTTATATCATCAGTAGAGGTAAATTGTAATGGTATTTTCAATATAATGGACAATATTGTAATTTGAAAAATATTATATTAGTTAAAATAAACATTAATATTAGTTATATTAGGGCTATACGGACACGAACCGTAGACCTTCTCGATAAAATAGATTAAACTGATTATTATCAAAATGATTCGAATTGGTTAAAAGACCCAACATGCCTTTTTTTTTGTTATGCATTAGGCTCTTTCATTAACTGATCGATATTAGACATGGCCACGGGCCGGTTTCAGCCCGGAACTGGCCCGGGTCAAACCCAGGACCGGCCCATTGACCGGGCCCACGGTTCGGAACTGGCCTGGAACCGCCAGTTCCGAGCCCGGTTCCCAAAAAAGAATTTACATTTTGATTACATTTTATATTGAATAATTCATTATTTCATAATTTGATAATTCATTATTTTTTTATTTCATAATTTATTTTTTTAATTTTTACCGGCCGGTTCCGGTTCATACATGGCCACAAACCGGAACCGCCGGTTCTGAACCGTGGCTATGTCTAATCGATATGTCAGTTAGCTTGCCATCTTTTTTCTTGCCAATAAGAAGATAGCTCCATGTGCTTTGATTCACTATTTTGGTTTGGACTTGGGAGCACTACCAAGGTGTTTCAAAGAAGGGTTATCTTGACGCAGGTCTGATTTTTGCCAAGATTAACCTAAGTTAAATGGAGTCTCTATGGGCCCTCCTTAAAGAACCAAATATGAAACTTCGTACACCTTAAAGTTCATAGGGAGAAAAAAGATTTTTTGGAGGTCCTTATACTCATTATGCCTAGCATTGAATATACTAGGTATTGAACTTATCAATATCTCAAATCAAGGATGGGTTCTATTTAGTGCTTAACTAAATGGACACCCGAATTGAACTGAGAACCTCTTGTCAGGCTACTCTTATTTTGTTGCCTAAACTTTATGGAGTAAGACATTGATTTCTCGATAAGATAATATTTACGAACTAATTGCACAAAGATCCCATTTAATTTGAATGAAAATTTTCTTTGTTTTTCTTTTATAATGCTAGGTCATGGTAGTAGAGACCCGGCTTCCTAATTCAATGAATACTCTGTAAGCCCCAAGAACCATTTAGGTTTAGACCTTTGATCTGTGTAATGGCTTAGGCACAGAGTAGTTTGTGCGCAATTGGTATGATTTGAACGGATAACCTCTAGTTCTTAAATTGGGAATCCCTCATATGCCCTAGTCACATATTTACACTTAATTTAACTTTTACCTAATGTGCATATATTGTTAATTTCTTGATGTGACATAGTAATTGTATGTGTACCAAAATGTTGTTCTTTGCTAATTTGTTGTTTATCAATTTATCTATGTATTTCAAGACTAATGTGTTCACCATGTGATGTCTTGAATTCTTTTAAAATATGTAGACATATTATAATATTTTTCTTCATAAGATTTCATGACAATATGCTCAATGCATATCTCTCATGTCACTAATAAAGAAAATAAGCGCGTTGTGATGATAAATTGTTGCAAAATACCACATTTTCAAACTAAAAGAATAATTTATGAAAAAAACTAAAACAATAAGGGTGCATTCGTTTCGCGGAAAGTGAGTGATTTGGAAAATATTTTCCGAAAAATGATTACTTATATCATTTAGAAAAAAATAGTCAACGCAAAATATTTTCATCATCAATAACAATCTATGTTTAACTATTTTTGTGGGTGGTGAAAAAAATTTCCATTTATTCATTTTTCTAAACAATATAAGCAATCATTTTTTGGAAAAATGTTTTCCAAAAGCACTCTAAAAGTATGAATTTTGTACATATTTATTATTTTCTACTTTGTAAATATTAACTAAAAGATTAATCATGATATAACTTTTTCAATTTTAGAAAATTAGGTAAAATAATTATTAGTATTCCTATCGTCTCGAGGCTCAGATTTACCACTAGTATATATATTTAAATAGGTAGAGCACTACAATTGATAGGAAACACTTCATACCGAGTGCTAGTAGCATACGGCGACACGGTTGTTATAATCGTGATTTATATTGTATGATCGATGACGTCCGATCCCAAATCTACTAGGGGTGCAAACGGTTTAGTTGGGTTCGGTTTTCTTGAAAAACCGAATCAAACCGAACCATTAAGGATGCCCCCTTGAACCGAATCGAAACTCGCTCGAACTGAATCGAAAAACTGATTTGGCTTGGTTTGATTCGAATCGGTTTTCGGTTTCTTCTTCTTTTTTCTTTTTTTCTTGCTTTTTATTCATCGCCGCCTCGATCGCTCTCTCCCCTTCCTCTTTCTCCCTGACCAACTTCTCGTTCTGCAACTTCAACCTCTCGAAGCTCCCTTCTAGATACCTCCTCACCTTCTCCATCTCACTCAGGCCCTCCTTCAACAGGCCCGCCTTCTCCACCAAGCCCACGCACTCCACCTTCAACGTATCCCTCTCGTTGCTCACGTCTCTCAAAGCCGCCCTCTCCCTTAGCCCCTCCACCTCCGCATCCCTCTGGTGAAGCAGAGGGAAGAAGAGACACGAAGGCAAATCAAGCGTCCCTTTTACAACAACACGACAGTTCCGATTAGCAGCAAATCAAGCGTCGAGACACGAAGGCAAGAACCCACCCAATCGCACAGAGCAAGCACAATGGAGGATGAGAGCGAAGGAAGAAGAGCGTACACGTAAAAGGGTTTCCAGAGATTGATTCGAAACTTCAACCCTCGAAGTTGGCCGAGGATTCAAGAGGGTGGTGTCCGACGGGAGTAATGACGGAGCCGAATCTTGAACACAGCTTTGGAAACCCAGCTGCTGATGTTCGCTTTGAACACTAGGAGCAAACACAAGAGCTGGTGCCGAGAGAGCCACAGAGAGAGCACCACTAACGTCGTCCTCGTTCAATCGTTCTGCTTCCCCGAGGGCGAGAGAGCCCTAAAAGCCTTTTAGGGTAACAAGCGAAGGTTTATTTTCATTTGTTGAACCGAACCGAAATAAACCGAAACCGAAAACCGAACCCAACGAAAATACACAAAATTTTGAATTCGGTTCGGTTTGTATCTCGATTTGGTTTTGACACCCCTACGCCAAGCTACTGTCTATTCCATTTAGTTTGATTTCGCTTTTACAATCTTAATATGAAAAAATTAAATTTAAATTTTGTTGGGTTGAATAAATTACAAGTAATTTTTGTTAAAAGAAGGAAATATTTAAAACAGAAAAGGGGTCGAAATTAGCCGAAACACGTGCCGAGCCTGGGCTTGGCATGTGGGCTGGAAAGGCCTGGCCCTGCCCAGCTTGACACACAAGGCTCATGGGCTGTGCCTGGCGTGACCAAGGCCCAAGGAAAACTGTTGGTTGAAGGACCAAGAAGCTGCCAATGTTCAATCGAAAACGATATCTTCTTCACGTTTATCTTGGTTTCCGAAGTCACACACGAGTTAAGGCTCTTTGTCGGGTGAATTTTCATGGCTGAAAAGTCTTGTGGCGTTTCCGATTGTGTTCCTCCAACACAGAAAGCTCAAAAGAAGATCAGGAATTTTATTGTAGATGACTATACACAATGCCATCGAAACAAAATGACCGTGTACAAACTAAGATGATGCTATGCCCCAATTCTTCGTGCTGCTCTCCACCTTATGTTTTTTTTCAAGGAAGTGACAACTTGATCTTGTTGAGCTTAACCATGATAGTTTTCATGTCCATTCTTTCCTCAGGCAAGTCCTTTGAACATTCTAGTCCTAACTCGAGGATCGATAAAACTATGCTCTCGAGTTCCGGGAGCGTCAAATCTTCTAGCTTCATGCTGAGGATTCCGCTATCCACGATGTCAAGCACTCGGTCCGGGATTGCTGCACCTACCCATCGCCTCAAGCTCATATCCGCATCGAATATTTCACCGGTTGGCTTCTTCCCAGTAATCACTTCCAGCAACAATATGCCGAAGCTATAGACATCTCCTTTTGTCGAGACTTTTCCTTCCAAACCGTACTCTACAAGCGTCATGGTTTGTGGAATAAGAACATTAGCAATTGATCTTTTTTCTTTCTGGGACATAAGTAATAAGATCGAGAGGTATACGGGTGTTAATATATCTCTATTATATTACACCATTATATTGGGAATCAAAGGCTTGAATTAGCTAAAATTCGACAAATGTACCCGGAGCAATGTAACCAATCGTGCCAAGAGTTCGGGTTTGTTCTCAGCCAAAATCTTCGCAATTCCGAAGTTGCAAACTTGTGCGACCAGGTCCTCGTTTAGAAGAACATTGCTAGGCTTCATATCGCAGTGCACAACGGGTTCCGGTTGGCCATGGTGGAGATATTCAATTGCCGTTGCGACATCGACGATTATCTTCACTCGCTGATGGAGACCCAAGTTATAGTTGTTGGAGTAAATCCACTTATCCAAGCTCCCATGGGGCATGTATTGCAACACCAGCACTCTCAGATCGGCATTCGTGCAGGTGCTGATCACCTTGACGAGATTCCGGTGCCTGATAATGCGGAAAACCTCGCATTCTGCGTCGAAACTTTTTAGGGCGCCTTCAATATAGAGATTCAATACTTTGATCGCAACATCTGTCCCACTGGCCAGAGTCCCCTTATACACCGAGCTAAAGCTTCCTACTCCAAGCAAATTGCTTTCGCTGAAGTTGTTAGTAGCCGAGCGAAGTTCCTGATATGATATCATCATGTGGTCAATTCCAAGCAGGTTCTCCACCGAAACTGGAGCTTTTTTACTAGTGTCCCCACACATTCTAAGCAAGCAAATAACGAGGACTAAAAGTACAGTTGATACAATTGGCAACATAATTAATAGTAACTGGAGCGGCTTATCCCTTGATGATTTCTTTCCATTTAGTTTGCAAGATGGGACTTGAAAAGCCGCATTTCCACAAAGTGCTTCATTCCCAATGAAAGAGAGAGTTGAGAAATTTCCAAAGGGCCCACCATTAGGAATCTCTCCCGATAGCTTATTAAAGGACAAGTTCAAATTTTGCAAATATGTAAGTCCTTCCATGGACTCGGGTATCGTGCCTGATAACTCATTGTAGGAGATGTCAAGGAAATTCAACCCTTTAAGATTGCCGATCAATTGCGGTATCGATCCTTGAAATGAGTTCCTTGACAAGTTGAGAGAAGCAAGGCTGTTCAACTTGTGGATGGAACTCGATATGGCGCCGGTAAGTCGATTCCAAGAAAGATCAATGCTGGTTATAGCTCTTATTTTCGCCATGTCAAACGGTAGCCCTCCATTGAAAGAATTGAGTGAAAGATCGAGAATGATGAGTTCTTGAAGGCTCCACAGACTAACTGGTATAACCGATGACATGTTATTCGAACTTACCAGAAACTTTTGAAGGCTGCTTAGCCGTCCAATGCAATTCGGGATCGATCCCGACATCCTATTTTGCTGGAGCAGCAACTCTCCTAAACTTGTCAAGTTGCATATGTCATCGGGGATCGGTCCTTCGAGATGGTTGTTATCAAGATACAGCCTTTGCAAGCTTTTTGGTCCTCCGATTGACGATGGGATGGTGCCATCTAGATCGTTATTGCACAATCCTAGGAAAGTCAATCTCTGCAAGAAACCAATTTCCTCAGGAATGCGACCTCTTATTTGACAATTGCAAGCGAGTAGAATTTGTAGGGAACTGGAGAAGTTTCTGATAGATTCTGGTATAGAGCCACGAAGTGGGTTGTCTTCCAAAACCATGATTTGCAGCGATTGGCACTTGGATAAAGTAGAGAGAAAACCGAGCTCCGAACCATCAGGCTCTACTGTGAGCTGATTTGATGGAACCACGAAGTCTGAGGTTTTTCAAGTTGCCCAAACTTGTGGGTATGGGTCCGCTGAGTTGATTGCTCCCGGCATCAAAACGGATTAGGCTCGAAAAATTCGAAATATATTGGGGAATGTTGCTGCCGAAGCCATTATCTGCTAGCAAGAGTATTTCCAAATTCGGAAGGCTTAGGTCGCTACTAGGGAGAAGGCTTCCAGAGAGGGAATTGCTACTCAAAGAAAGCATTTGTAGAGAAGAAATGTTAAAAACCTCGTGGGGCACTTCGCCCGTTAGCAGATTATTCCGAAGGCTTATTTCATTCAGATTGACCAACTTGCCAATCTCACTTGGAATGTCCCCTACGATGTGGTTAGATCGAACCAAAAGCTTGTGCAAGCTTGACATGTTACTGATGCTTCGAGGAATCGTGCCAGTCAAGTTGTTCAAACTGAGATAGAGGTCCTGCAGCTTTTGCAAGCTGTCCATGTCTCGAGGAATGCTTCCCTGAAAACGATTGTATGACAACGACAACACGAGAAGCTCTTTGCATCGGGTTAGCGTCTCCGGTAGCTGGCCGCTGAATTCATTGTCAGACAGCAAAAGCCGCTGAATGTTAGGCCAGCGGGAGCAAAGATCGGAAGGAAGACTCCCCGAGAGATCATTATGCATCAAGTCGACAATCATGAGCGATCGATTGAAAAATGTTGGAGGAATCGAACCTGTGAGATTGGTCGTGCTCAAACCAATGACCTGCAATGTGGATATGTTGCCCAGGAAGCTCGGAATTTGACCCCGTAAATCGTTGAGGCTAAGAAAAAGTTGTTGCAACTTAGCGAAAGCACCGAATTCTCTCGGAATGCCACCAGTTGGCCTGTTCATCTCGAGTGATATCACTTCGAGATTTTGGCACTGGGCTAAGTTGGGAGGAATGTTTCCTTCGAACTGGTTGAATTGGAGTACGAGTTCTTTCAAGTGGCGTAAACGACCGATTTCTATTAAAATCGTGCCATAGAAACTGTTATTGCCGAGATCAAGAGAAGCCAGGAAAGAAAAATTGCCGAGGTAGGGAGAGAGTCTTCCCTAGAGAACCATGGATGAGAGGTTTAAAGCCGTGACTCTCTGCCTATGATTGCTGCAAACGACACCGGTCCATTCACAGAAATTTGCTTCCACGGTCCAATTGCCGCCTTTGATGGTGTTCGTCGGTTCGACTTTGATCGCGGATTTGAAGTGGAGGAGAGCATCTTGATCAGTGAAGTTGCTGGAACAAATTATGGGCTGAAACATCAATAGGGAAGCTAACGGTACATCAAGAAGTGCTAAAAAGATGAACTTCTCCATAATGGAGAGAGCTTCTTTTGATTGCATCAATAGACAGTTTGCTAGTTAGGACCTGTTCTTAGTATTTATACCAAAACCTACCAAATGATTGTCTCAATTTGAAAAAATAAAAAAAGTAAAGAAAGACTAACTACCAAATGATGCCCCACATGGTGTCTCTTTGGAAAAACAGTAGGTTGCTTTTCAATGTGAGGAACATGACAAACTTCATGATCCACAATTCAGATATATTGTAGTTTGAAATTTTGATTTGAGCGTTAAAGTTCTCATATGATAATCCCAACTCATTTTCTTTTTAATATTTAAAAGAATGCTATTTACAATGCCGCACAAATTAACCCAAACCATAATCGTGTTGACAACATTCGTGATTGAGGGGAAGTTGGAGTTCAGTAAATGACCCGATCTTTACGTTTACACGTACACACTTATTTTTGAATCTGTGAGGGTACAAATGAATGTTTGAATAATGCTCAAGGCACGAACGTGAAAATGTGTTGTCATAACTGTCGTGACATTCCCATAAAGGCGATATGAAGTATCTCGTGGGAAGTTGACTGATTGGAAGTTCCTACTGCTAGAAGAGCTAATGATATTAGTTGTCTGTCAACTTTTATTCATGTGTCATGTCATATTTGAATTTTCAATCGTTTTAATTAAATCTATTTTGATTAATATGTAATATCGTTCGGTAACTTTTAATTGATTTAATTAGATCCCTAATATATTTAATATGTTTATTGTCATTATTTCATTAATTAATTTAAATGAAATGCATCATGGATTTCAATTTGATAAAGCTGATGTTTGATAGAGAAAATTACGCGGATTTTGTGCATGTCACGGTGACTTTAAATTGCAAAACTATAATACTCGTTCCTTTAGTATGTGCACTATTCACTCTGACAACATTTGCTTTTCTCAACGCACGTTATCGTCCAGTGGATAAGGGCTTTAAAATTTCTACTATTAAAACGCACGGAAAACTTTACTATTTTCTTTTGAAAGCATAGTGAAGAATCCTTCCTCATTCTTCACTTGACATGATTTCGATTGAAAGCTTGAAGAAGAATAAGACCACATTAATTATACAAAGTAAAGGGTTTAGTCCTGGTTTGGAAGCTTTTCTTTAACACTAGTAGAATTCTCGTTTGATGCATAGGTTTCAGCATTTTGTTTTATTGAAAAATTACTCTAAAGTATTTGTTGCGGAAGCCAAGCGATCGAACAATAAAATTGACAGAATAAAAAAAAATCGTACACCAGATTTACGTGATTCGGTCATAGTGATTTACGTCCATGGGAAGAGTAGCATGAAATTTCATTATAGATCAAACGATACAACGGAGATTACAACCACACTCGAGTCACTCAAACACTTTCAGTGTTTAACCCCACAATTCCTTACGAAATAATCTCTCAATCTCACGAAGGAATTATATACAAATCTTAACACAAGATTTTCACGACTTGAACACTCGAATTCTTGTATGTAATTTGCCGAAGAAAGACCCACGATTGCCAAGCACTCGTTTAAACGGTGCTTCACTAACTGCTCCATAATCTACTGGCCGAGTTCAAGTAAATATTTTCGAAGGGACGTCCATTGGCCGAATACAATTAGAAATACAAATCCGTGAAACACTGTCAACCCAAAGTCCAAGTTGGACTTTCCTCAATTTCTAAACTCCTCAGCCAAATTCAATAAAGCAGAGAATAATTCCATCTATTTTATTTCTTCTTTCTCTGATTCATTGTTGACCGAGTCAATGTCTATCTCAATGTCCACGTTGGCCTTTCTGATGGACTTCCTATTTCAAGTCATAGACTCCAATGTAGAAAAGGAAACCACTTGGCCAAAGAGTCTCTCGGACTGATCAATCTACCATGCAACGAGTGGATGGTATTTGACTGATAATGATTTTCTACGTCTAGAAACCATGCATGTATGCATCGACGACAGCTCGTTTAAAGTTGGTGGGAGTTGTCCGGAGACTATTCTTTGCTACTGGCGACATTGAGAACCACAGTCAACCACCTTTTTCTTCTTTCTTTTGGTTGCATTTGATAGAAAAAGGGGACCCCAGCCCCATGGTTTGGCAATTTGCCTTTTGCTTTCACACTTTCCGTGTCGGTTTGCACTCGCAAATGGTTTTTCTTCGAGGGGATTGAGGTCGGAGTTTGGGTCGGTGTGGGGCGCGCACTGGGGGAAGCAGCGGAAGTTAACGATGGGGGTGCCTCTGGGTTCAGTTTCCAGAGCGGTTGTCTACGTTGTTCTTGTCGTGATCTGCTCTGCGGTCTTCGAGTGTGATGCTCAACTCTTGCCACAGGATGAAGGTACGCCAGCATGACTAAACCCTTTTGCTTTAATGGTAGTTAAGTGGTTCTTCTTTTTGGCCCTCTGTTTTTGGGGAGAATTGCTTCGCGAACTCTGGTCCTGAATCTCTCTCTGGCTCTCCTCTGTTGAGGTCTGCAAATTGAGCTATAAAGTTTGGAGCTTCTATCACATTTCTCCGCCCTTTTTTCTTCGCGATTTTGTTTCTGGTCCAACCGCGGGAGATATTTCTTCTGCACTTGCATTTCCTTTTCTGAAAACTCTCCCTAACAGACGGAGCAGGGACCGAGGCGGCCGACGGCGGCCGCCGCTCTGAAAGCTATATTTTTTTGAGAAAATTTAAGCATAATTTTCATCTCCCATCTCTCAACCTAAAAATCCTACCTCCATAATTAGATAATCAAATGCTTTCCAAGTACTCTCACTTTGCTCAATTATTACACAGATAATCTTACTTTAACCGGGCGAACCGGCAGATTAATGGTGAAGATTTCCTTTTCGGGGAATAGGTTGTTGGCGACGGCAATTTTTTTTCCCAAACCTCCTTTCCAATCCTAATCTTGTTAGGAAAATGAATTTAGGACTCAAGAAAAATCAGCGGAAAAAAAGTTCTGGGTTTTTTATTCAGTCAAACCTCATCTGTCTGGGCCCACACAAGCCCATCTCTCTCTCTCTCTCTCTCGGAGGACAGGAGGGAGAGACAAAATTTTCTTGACAGGTGGGCCCGCGTCGCCACATGTCAATCTCCATATGATTTAATGCAAATCCCTACGTGTTATATTGAATGCACCGAATATTTTCTCGGCATGGGGTGCGTCCAATCAGAATGTTAAAGAATGAAGAGTAAATGTCTTGCAGTACTTTCAGTTCACCAGTTTGAGTTGATACCTTCTTCTGAAAACGAAACTGAGATATGAGGTAGGTTTGCATTTGAGAGAATACGTGACTCCATATGATCTTATCACTTGTCCAATTAAAATTCTGTGATGTTGATAGTACACAGTATTTTAGATATCTTTCTACATTGAATTCATGCTGTCGGACCAGTGGTCTTGTGATGGGTCGCAATAATTGGGATTGATGGGCCTTCCTGAATATTGCCACCAATTCACATGAAGACGACCATACTCCGCTTCTTGCAATTCGGTTGCACTGGTCTTGATATGAATAGAAAAGTTCCTGCTCCTTTTTAAAAGGGTAAGAAAAGATACCATTACATAATTATGTCAGAAGCAATACGATCATCGCGAAATAAAGATTATCTCTGCCATCAGCTAGCTGATACCCTCCAGCAATAAGATGGTTGAATAAAGGATTAATATCATGAAAATAATTAATTTTTTGACCATTAAAAACTATAAATTGGTACACTTGTGATAAATTTATCATCCGTTGGTTTCTGTTAAATTTTAGGGTTAATATCACGAAAAACCCTAAATTGGTACACTTGTGATAATTTTACCCCAAACTATTTTTTTGACCATAAAAAATCCCAAACTGGTATACTTGTGACAAATCTACCCTAAACAATTTTTTTGACCATCAAAAACCCCAAACTGGTATACATGTGACAATTTTACCCCGAACTAATTTTTTAATATTATTTTTTATTTTTCGAATTTTTTTATTTTTTCTTTACTTTTTTTTTTCCTTTCTCTTCAACCTCTGGCCGGTCGCCGGACCGGCGACCGGCCAAAGGCGGAAGCCGGCGAGGTCGGCCCCGCCGGCCACTGGCGAGGTCGAGCCTCGCCGGATCTGGCGGGGCCCGCCTGCGCCGGCCAGCGAGGCACGACCTCGCCCAACGCCGGCGAGGTTGAGCCTCGCCAGCGGCCGACGGGGACCGGGCCCTCGCCGGATCCGGGCGAGGCTCGGCCCCGCCGTTGCGGGGTGAGGTCGGCCTCGCCGGCGTTGGGCGAGGTCGGCCTCGCCTTGCAACGGCGAGGTCAAGCCTCGCCGGATCCGGCGAGGTTCGGCCCCGCCGTTGCGGCGAGGCCGACCTCGCCCAACGCCGGCGAGGCCGACCTCGCCCAATGCCGGCGAGGTCGGCCTCACCCTGTAATGGCGAGGTCGAGCCTCGCCGGATCTGCGGGGCCGGGTCCCGCCGGCCGGCGAGGCTCGACCTCGCCGGCGTTGGGTGAGGCCGACCTCGCTGTTGCAAGGTGAGGCCGACCTCGCCTAACGCCGGCGAGGTCGTGCCTCGCCCGGCCGCGGGACCGGGCCCTCGCCGGATCTGGCGAGGCTCGACCTCGCCGTTGCGGGCGAGGCCGACCTCGCCAACGCCGGCGAGGTCGAGCCTTGCCGCGGCCGGCGAGGCCGACCTCGCTCGCTTCCGCCTCGGCCGGTCGCCGGTCTGGCGACCGGCCAGAGGTTGAAGAGAAAGGAAAAAAAAAAAGTAAAGAAAAAATAAAAAATAAATAAAAAAATTCGAAAAATAAAAAATAATATTAAAAATTAGTTCGTCGTAAAATTGTCACATGTATACCAATTTGGGGTTTTTGGTGATCAAAAAAATAGTTCGGGGTAGATTTGTCACAAGTGTACCAGTTGGGGGTTTTTTATGGTAAAAAAAATAGTTTGGGGTAAAATTGTTATAAATGTACCAGTTTAGGGTTTTTCGTGGTATTAATCCTAAATTTTACTGTCAAATTGCTGAGTTGGATGACACGTGACAGTTGACAGGTTTATCGGTTTGAGGTTTTAATTCTCTGTTTGTCACATGTTTATCAGTTTGTGATTTTTCGTGGTATTAATCCAATTTAACGAAAACTAACGGAGGGTAAATTTGTCATAAATGTACCAGTTTGGAGTTTTTGGTGGTCAAAATATTAGTTTTGTGTAAATTTGTCACAGGTGTACCAGTTTGGGGGTTTTTGGTGATCAAAAAATTAATTTGGAGTAAATTTATCACAGACTTACCGGTTTAGAATTTTTCGTGTCATTAGCCCTTGAATAAATGGCATTCATTTCTTAGGTGAGAACTTGCTCTCTGGATTGCAATGTGAAAGGAGCAATTGGTTTTTTGACCCCCCTGATTTGGTCAAACTTGAGAATATAGCTGACTAGTCCTCTCTCACCTAACATATATATACATTGTTTACTTTTCCCACATCATGTGTAGATTAAATGTCTTGCTGGTCAACCCTCCGTTTGTGACTTTTCTTATGCTATACCAAAATGGAAGGTGGCATTGAAATTTTATAGTGATGACAATGAAATTACTCTACCTTGATCATTGATAACTATATCTTATCTTGCAAGCTCATCTTCCCATACATGCAGCTTGTATAATCACTTAGTTTTTAATTGAATTAAGTAAATATGATGCACTGTCCGGACTCCACTTATTGCTCTACAGTCCCGAGATTGGATAAGCATTTCTTACTCGAGGTCGAGCCGATTTTAATCATCTTAACCGAGGGGGGCTACCTTCCCTGGCTCCAAATCATTCTATGCTTATCCACAAAACATGCCACGTAAACTAAGTACTTAGAAGAGCTTGATTGCCTGGAGTCTAGTATTACCAGGGTCAAATTCAATTCAAATGGGCATTTGAGACTTCAAACAATTGAAAACGTAAATCGACTCACAAACACCTGCTAGTGTACTTTTTCATTTGTTCCTTCTTAGTCTCTTAGATATTTTTCCAGCAATGGATACTAGTAACTGATTTTCAACTTCTGATTTGTTCTTGCAGTTGATACACTAAACACAATCGCCACGAAAATGCAAAACCGATATTGGAATGCAACTGAAACGACATGCATTGAGGGTAGAGGTCTATACGTGCCGACCTTACCTTCAGGAATAATAACCAGCGTGACTTGCAACTGTTCCTTCATTAACGGCACAGTTTGCCATGTCACGAGGATGTATGTATGAACCATCTGTTTTTTTTTTTTTTTTTTTTGTTCTCTCACTATCTTTCTTTCACGTGCATCAATTGCAATTTACCTATTCTTCTTCGTTTCGCAGCCAGCTGAGGGAACTTAATTTGACAGGGATTTTTCCTGATGAATTCGGCAACCTCAAGTATCTAACAGAAATGTAAGTTAGACTTGACCGAATGAGATCTTCCCAACTGGAAAGATATTAGTCCATAGAGCTTGCGTATGTCTGATGGGCCATGGTTCTATATTTTCGTGGGGAAATCACAGAAAAGCATGCTATGAGTTGGGTGAAAATTATTCTGGTTCCACCTTACCTTATTATTGACAATGTCTTCCATAATTCTCGATTGATCTTTCTTTTTCTCAAGCATGTATCTGCCTGAGAAATGTAGCAATCGTGGGAATCTAAATCAACTAATTTGTCAGAAGTTTAGCAAATTATTGCTTGAGAATTGTAATATTTCTAAAGCGAGCATTATTTGCAAGCAGAGACCTCTCTCGTAACTACATCAACGGAACGATCCCCACAACTCTTACTCAGATACCACTTACCATTCTGTAAGTTGATCTTGTCATACATAAGATATCATTATCTCAATTTAATTTGGAGTTCTTAGAAAAAAGAAGCATTATTTTGTTTTCACTTTGGTGCTTCAGGTCAGCACTTGGAAATCGCATAAGTGGTATTCCCAAGGAAATTGGCAACATCAGCACACTGGAGGAGCTGTAAGACCTGCTATAAGTCATATGCCTTTGTATTGAGAATGTGTTAGACCTGATGGTGATAAATTTTTGTCTCTGCTAGTGTATTAGAGGACAATCTGCTTGAAGGCGCTCTTGAGTCTAACATTGGAAACTTGAGCCGCTTAACGAGACTGTAAGTAAATTGGAGTACATTAGTTGGCACACTTTTTCCTGGATAACACATATCAAAGTCCTTTCTTAATGTTTGTGAGCTCTCTTGATTGCGAGATCATGAAATAAAAGATCCGACTCTACTCTTCCTGCTTAAATTGGAACGAAGTTTCTCTTTGTTTGGGGAGATGAAAATACACTTTGTTCTATGTTATGTACACTTATGCATTGAGACTTGATCCTTCGGTATTTCAAATTCCTAGATCTTTTTTTTTTTGCAGCCTTCTATCTGCTAACAATTTCACGGGAACAATACCTGAATCCTTTGGCAATCTGAAGAACTTAGAAGATTTGTAAGCGGCATCATATTTCTTTTTTTAGTTCTCAACATACTGAATTTCCTTTGAGGGATTTTTACTGATAGACCACTTGCAGTCGTATAGATGGAAGCACATTATCAGAAAAGATACCTGATTTTATCGGGAATTGGACCAAAATTATGAGATTGTGCGTATCCCAATCCTTTTCAATTAGGGCCAAAAATATTTATTTATATATTTTATGAGATACTTGAAAGTTGTTCTTATATTACGGCATTAAGTTTTCAGGGACATGCAAGGAACATCTATGGAGGGACCTATTCCTTCTAGCATTTCTTTGTTGAAAAACTTGACAGAGTTGTGAGCATTCGATCCTGTGCAATTGTTCTCTGTTTTTTATAATCTTGTAAGCTTGTGTTTTAATACAAAAAGGTAGGATGGATCTTAATGTTATGCGATGGACTGGTTTTATATGCTTCCAGGAGAATATCTGATTTGAAAGGTCCAAGCTCGAATTTTCCTGATTTGCAGGGCATGAACATGATGACTACTTTGTGAGTTCAATATCATGAATATTTGATTTGCTTCTTTTGTCTCTTTTTTTATAGCTAAATTACCACTAACTATTGTTTACACATCTCAGGATTCTGAGAAATTGCTTGCTTACTGGCTCAATTCCAGATTACATTGGGGAATGGACAGGTTTGAAGACATTGTAAGTCGCTAAAATTAGGTGGATATTTCGTTTGATCGCAGGACATATCTTCTTTTCTTTGAAAAGTCCAGTGGACCGATTATTAAGCACCGACAGATATTTGGAGTTGTCCCAGAAGATTATTGCATTTTTTTAGAAGAGATTTGTTTCATGAATGAGAAAGGCCTCAAAGTGAAGATCAAATTACATGAACTTCTGCAAGTTTTCTTGAGAAAACTATTTGACTCGTCTCCTTTTTTTCTTCTTTGGGTAGAGACCTGAGTGTCAATAGATTGACCGGTCAAGTTCCTGACAAGATGGGAGATGCTCTGAATTACATGTAATTACAAATTTTCTTGACTACTCCTATTGTCTCGGCAAATATGTAGTTGACTTTCCTTCCTCATTAGTATCATATACATCTTGTATAATTGGATTCCGAACAATTCTTTGGACAAGTGTTACATGACTTTTATTTGTGAATGTAGGTTTCTGACAAACAACTCCCTTACTGGAGCAGTACCCACTTGGGTAACAAGCAGCAAGCAATCTCTGTCAGTCTTCCATGAAAATATCCAGTTTTTCGTTGTTGGTTTTCAATATGATTTTCATAGATTGCAAGATTTGACTCATAATTCTTAGTATGAGACTCATGGGTTCACGTCCGATATGTAACTCTTCAAAGTTGTACTATTATTATTTATGGAGGTGAATATGTGCACTAACTAGGTCAAGGTGTGAACTGCAGCGACTTATCTTACAACAATTTCTTCGGCTCTCCTCCAACCAGTTGTCAGCAATCACAAGCGTGAGTCAATGCACATTTTCTCTTAAGGCAGAAATTTTATAGTTTTGTCTCGTCCCCACATTTCTGGAGTTATTATCTTACCCATTGTGTCGCTTTCCAGTAATTTGGTTTCCAGCTATTCATCCAACGGAAACAACTCGTAAGTCTCTTTGACTAAGAGCAATACCAATTGTTGATAATTGCATATGAACATTATATTACCGACAATTTTTCTGGTTCATCCCATTAGGCTCTGGTGCTTGGAGAAGGATCTACCCTGCAGCGGGAAAGCACAATGTGAGCTCTACTATGTTTGAATTGTTGTTGAGCATGAACTGTCAAGCAACTTTTGTCTCCTATCACGTCTTATGCAATATCATCCGACGACACATGCAGACGATTCCTTGTTTATCAATTGTGGAGGAATCGAAATTACAGATGACGGGAATCAATATGAAGCGGACACCAGTCCATACGGGCCATCATTTTTCTCTTCTTCTTCTTCAAAAAAGTGGGCTTACAGCACCACAGGGGTTTATATGGGAAATGATGCTGCTGATTACACAGCGAATTACCCATATATTTTGAATGTGAACGGCTCAGGATTTTACCAAACGGCTCGCCTTTCTCCTTGGTCGATCAGATACTATGGCCTTTGCTTGATGAAGGGAAGTTACAAAGTGCGGCTCCATTTTGCTGAATTTCAATATTCCGACGACGAAACATTTAGCAGCCTCGGGAGACGTATATTCGATGTATCGATACAAGTAAGTGAAGTGAAATTTGGCACCTGATTATAATTTTAGTTTCATTTATTTTGCTGAGTTATCGTCTTTTGTTGAGGAATTTGACTTGGGAAATTGTTATTATGACTTGGTGTGTGACAGGGCTACACACAACAATCCCGCAAGAGCACGATCCTTTCTTACCGAAATTCTTGTTAATTCTGCAGGGCAATCAAGTGTTGAAGGATTTTAATATTGCAAAGGAAGCGGGAGGTGTTGGGAAGAACATACTCAAGGTCTTCGATAATATTTATGTTAGTGGCAGTACTTTGGAGATTCATTTATATTGGTCAGGGAAGGGAACCACAGCCATTCCTTATAGAGGTACCTATGGACCACTTATTTCTGCTATTGCAGTGACACGGAGTAAGTCAACGCTGATGTAGAGATCTCTATTATTCTTTCCTCATGTGGTCATAGAAGCATTCACGTATAAATCTATCATTTTTTTCCTGCTCGTAGACGCTGATGCTGGAAGCGCTGGACTATCAGCTGGAGCAATCACTGGAATCGCGGTAGCTTCAGTGGTTCTCCTTGTATTGATATTACTAGTCCTTTGGCTAACAGGATTATTAGGCGGCAGAGAAGTTGGAGATCCAGGTGAGACTATCATGCTAATATGTCTACTCACGCAGGAATCGTTCACTCTCTGATTCAGCACACGAGTATGATGCTTAATTCAAGACTATATTTATCTACTTTCTTTGTACTTTTTGTGGAATTCTTATGAATAAACTGTGACACCAAAAGTTGGCCTTTTTTCTATTAACTAGGATTGCATGTCTATGAGGCATGACCACATAGGTGAATCCTCTTCAAATTGAGTGTTTGTTGTAGAATTGTGCTTTTCCTTCACTTATTATTATTGCATTCCTGATGTACACGCTTTTTTTTTCTCAGAATTACGTGGGCTAGATCTCCAAACTAGCCATTTCACTTTAAGGCAAATCAAAGCTGCTACAGACAACTTTGACTCTGTGAATAAGATAGGTGAAGGAGGGTTTGGGCCAGTTTATAAGGTAATTCACAATATGTTCGTAACTTCATCCTCCATTCAATGTGAAGGAAATGTTTGATAAATTCAGTGTGTCTTTGTTTTAGACTTAGCAACCCAGATCTTGTCAAGCTAACCATTTTTTTGTAATGAAATAACACGTGATCAGTTATGAGTCTTAAATTCATATGATTAATCTCAGGGAACACTGTCAGATGGAATTATAATTGCTGTGAAGCAGCTTTCTTCTAGATCAAAGCAAGGCAATCGTGAATTTCTCAACGAGATAGGCATGATATCTGCTCTCCAGCACCCAAATCTCGTAAAGCTTTACGGCTGCTGCATTGAAGGAAATCAGTTATTGCTAGTTTACGAATATTTAGAGAACAATAGTCTTGCCCGCGCACTTTTTGGTAAAGGATGCTTTCCCTAAGCTGACTAATATGCTATTAATGAGCATTTAACTGAACTCTCTCTCTCTCTCTCTCTCTCTCTCTCTCTCTCCCAGGACGAGATGAGCAGCAGATTGAGTTGGACTGGGCCGCGAGAAAGAAAATATGTTTTGGAATAGCCAGGGGATTGGCTTACCTTCACGAGGAATCTAGGTTGAAAATTGTTCATAGGGACATAAAAGCGGCAAATGTGCTGCTCGATAAGGAACTAAATGCCAAGATCTCAGATTTTGGTTTGGCCAAACTCGATGAAGAAGAGAATACGCATATCAGCACGAGGATAGCTGGAACAATGTAAGTCTTCTGTTATTCTGGTTAATTCTCTTCCTTTAATTTGCTTTATCTAATGAACTTTTAATTGCTAAATATCTGTAATGTTTTCCCTGAATGTCCTCCTTCTATTGCCATATTCACCATTACTATTTTGGCTTGCCTCAGAGGTTATATGGCTCCTGAATATGCGATGAGGGGCCACTTGACAGATAAAGCCGATGTCTACAGCTTTGGAGTCGTCGCTTTGGAAATTGTCAGCGGAAAGAGCAACACAAATTCCAGGTCGAAGGAAGAATTTGTTTATCTCCTTGACTGGGTAACGTATAGCGCCTTTAAGTTCTATAGAAATTATGCAGCCAAGCTTTTATTGGACTTGAAGGTCTCTTTCTCTACTTTCTGCCGGTTTGCTTTTGGGGCTTGCAAGTAGAATGATGGCATGTGACTTCATAATTAAATGACGGAACAAGCTATTAGGGACAAATTCGATCAGAGTAAATAAATATATGAAGGAGTAATTTCTTTAAAGGACTTCTCCCTAAAAAGAAAATGAAAAAGAAAACGAAAAGATGGGTTAGAAGCTTAGAATATTGATATCTATGCATGAGCATGCTCAGCGGTGGAGAATATGAATGAATGCATGAACATGATGAGATTCGATCTTAATTGTTCCTAAAACTGTTTTCTAAAAGCAAGATAACCCACTAATCTTCCATTTCTATTTGTACATGATGAAAGGCCCATGCGTTACAAGAGCAAGGGAACGTTCTTGAATTCGTGGATCCACGTCTCGGCTCAGATTACTCCGAGGAAGAGGCAATGAGAATGCTAAACCTGGCACTACTATGCACCAATCCTTCACCAACTCTCAGGCCGCCAATGTCATCTGTGGTGAGCATGCTCGAAGGAAAAAGCGCAATTCAAGCACGGATAGTCAATCGCACCACAACAAATCCAGATCCTAGGTTCAGAGCCTTCGAGAGGCTAGCTAATGACAGCCAAACAAATGTCTCGACATTCTCTCAGGACAGTGAGCAGGTGCTCGGAAGCATGTCCATACAAGGTCCGTGGATTGATTCTTCAGTTTATTTCACGAGTAAGGATGAGACCCGCAGCCATTCTTCAGAGAGCGAGCTTCTCCCAGATTTTTAGGACTCGGATTCGTTCAGTAATTATTATCCGTTGATCATTTTCTCTATCCAATAGAGTAAAGAAACTAGATGGTGGAAATATAGGGAATAACAATATTGCACGTCATTGTCCGTCCAAGTTCTCACATGAGAATAGAGCATGGGCTGGCCTTTAGGCACAAGGTCTGGCTTCATCCGGATGACTCTCAGTTGTATGAATTTTGTTGTATAAATAAATGGCTTTGAATCAAAAGAGCAATCAAGTCGGACTTTGAGGCGTGATATTACTTTCCTTAAGGATTTATTTGCCCCACAATGTTGCTAATGGTCACCGGCAAAATCCTCCAGGATACAACAAAGTCTCAAAATGAGAATACTAGATAGCAATTCTAGTATTTCTCCAGGGTCTCTCTAGGAAACAATTGAAAATGATGGCTGTAGTTTTTGAAAGAAGACTTGAAAATTGATATCGTTTTTTCCTTCTTGCCAAAAACTGACATATATAGAAATCAGTCTTAAAGAATATAGGCAACTCTTCACGAAAGGTTGCAAAGCCAACAAAGATATTTCTTCGGAAGAAGTTGCAAACTGAACAAATGCAACCCTTCGGGAAAGATTGAAAACTGAACAAGTATAATCTCCAAAAGTTGTCTTGAAAAGACACATGTAAAATTCGGAATAAAATAAAATAAAAATATATATAAATAAAATTCTGAATTTTCATAATTTCGAAAATTATTTAATAAACAAAAAACAACCTTTCAACTAATAAAGATTAATGAGATAACCTTACGAAATAAAATAAAAAATAAAGGGATTAGTGCTAATTAAACCGCTAAGTGCTAAGTGCGCCAAAATCGCGCAATTATTCGCGCACCCGCACGCGGGTATTGTGTGGACTAGCACATACCCCATTGTCTTCACTCTAAGGAGCAAGAAGATATTCACAGTTATAAAGTGGCCCACTTTCTCAAAACTTTCCTATGTGGGACAAAGGAAAGAGCATTATTTTGTTTGTTTTACAAACAAACATCCAACAAATTTTGTACTTCGAATTTTTCGGTATAGTATGTGCATCATAAATTCTCCCATTTTCGTCCATAAAAAATCCAAGACACTCGCGAGAACACTTTATTTACTTTATCGTTTTGACTTGATTTGATATGACAGAAGCACCTAAGATCTCTAACTAAGTTTTAGGAATGTCTAGTTGCTAAGCTCACAGGTCGGGAATTGTAGATTTAAGGCATTGTCTATGGTGTGCCCCCAACAAAAAGTACACTAATAAAAGTTTTTTTTTTTGATAATCTGGACTCCCGCACCGGCCGCACTATAAGAGTCCGACCGGCCAGGCACCAACCGGAGGAGAGCTAATCTGGCCCCACAAACTAGCCTCCATGTAAGTCAAGAGTATGATAAGGCTACGCGGCAGAGGGGACTCGAACTTGGGACCTGTGACCCCAAGTCCTACACCTTTACCAACGCAGCCAACCTCTTGGAGGCTACACTAATAAAAGTTGACCTCTTAAAAAACACTCATTAGCATGACTTCATGTAATTTTCAACTCATCTTTATCATTGACTTATTGAAGACTCAAAATTCATCAATTTTCACATTTTTAATGTAGCTCAGAAAATGAACAAAACACCGATGGGGCCATTTTCTTCTCATTACTATGATTCCATGGGGTTGTAGTACGGTTTAGGATGCAAAAGTTCATAAATGTATATAGGTGAAGCCCATCAAGGTCACAGAAAAGTAGAAAAAATAATATAATAGAAAGCCCTGGGAACGTGTGTCTAGTATAAATCAGATAGTACTGTTCATCAAATACACATGATTTTAGGTTGGTTAGTGTGACCGAAAAGCAGAATCATAATTGTAAAGCAACAGCTTATCCTGAACCTTTCTGGGTGAAAAGGTAACACCAAGTTCATGATGATCTTGGCAAATTCTTGTGGAACCTATCTTACTGGTCCGTAGACCAAGATGACACAAACAATCTGATCTTTTAGCTTTCCAAAACAATTGATAGTTTTTCAATTTTCATCTTTTGAGGGAAGAAGAGCATTGGTGCCAAAAGTTGTGTACGGAGCTCACTTTGATGCCAAAAGTTTCATTTGGATCATTTAAGTGCCAAAAATTTTGAAAAACGATCACTTAAGTGCCACTTCGCCGGAAATCCGACGTGGCATTTTTTTATTAATTTCTCAAGCTGATGTGGCTCGCTGGAGGCTGATGTGGCTCGCCGGGGGCTGATGTGGCATTTCTTTTCTTTTTTTTTTCCTTTTCTTTCTTTTTTCCTTTCTTTTCTTTTTTTTCTTTTCTTTCTTCTTATTTCCGCCGGCCTCGCCGGGCGTTGCCTTCCTCCGAGCGAGGGCCGGCGAGGCCGGCCCTCGCCGAGGCCACGGCGGCCTCGCCGACCCTCGCTTGGAGGAAGGTGACGCCTCGGCGAGGGCTTGCCTCGCCAGATTCGGCGAGGCCGGCCCTTGCCGAGGCCATGACTACCTCGCCGAGGCCGCCGTGACCTCGGCGAGGGCCGGCGAGGCCGCCGTGACCTCGGCGAGGGCCGGCGAGGCCGCCGTGGCGAGGTCGAGGGCCGTCCTCGCCGAATTTGGTGAGGCGAGCCCTCGCCGGGGCTCGCCTCGCCAGATCCGACGAGGCCGGCCCTCGCCGAGGCCACGACTACCTCGCTGAGGCGTCGCCTTCCTTCGGGCGAGGCTGCCTTGGCCTCGGCGAGGCCCAGCCTCGCCGAGGCCACGGCAGCCTCGTCAACCCTCGCCTGGAGGAAGGCGACGCCCGGCGAGGCCGGCCACGGCTGGTGGCTGGCCTCCGGCCACCGGCCATGGTAGAAGAAAAAGAAAAGAAAAAAGAAAAAAGAAAAGAAAAGAAAAGAAAAAAGAAAAAAGAAAAGAAAAGAAAAGAAAAAAGAAAAAAGAAAAGAAAGAAAAAAAATCAGAAAAAAATATTTAAAAAATTGAATTATACACATGAAAATGCCACGTGTCATTAAAATTTAAATATAAAAGCCACGTATTAAATTTGGTCGGAATTTCTCACCGTTGGCACTTAAGTAATCGTTTTTTCTCCGATTTGGCACTTAAGTGATCGCCAGCGTAAACTTTTGACACTTAAGTGATCTAAATGAAACTTTTGGCATCAAAGTGAGCTCCATACACAACTTTTGGCACCAATGCTGTTCTTCCCCCTTCATCTTTTGTTTTTCCATATAACAGAATTTCTCCAACTGCCACTTCCTAGCGAACACCCTTAACACTTCCAATCATTGAACAGTGATAAATACTTCCGCAATGGGTGAATCAGAAGCTTCCCAGCATGGTTGTTTTGCTGCTCCTTGCAGAAATGAGCCAAAGATTCAAACTTCATCTCACTTGATTAAGTGAGATAATGAAGGATTGGAATTATCAGAAATTTGCATTGGATGGGGCTGACAAGATAATGAAGGATTGGAACTATCAGAAATTCAGCTCATCTGATGAGGTCCACCGAGATCTTTCCGAGAAAATGGTGAAGTTCAACCCTTTAATTCTGGCATGAATGGTCGCGAGCAAGCAATGGAAAATGCAGCTTCGAGGGCAAAGGATGAAGCAGGCTTCACTATAAATGCAAATGCCGAGGCACAAGTTAAAACCATATCAAAGGAGAGATTTAAATCAAACAATTGGAAGAACGACCAAATATAAGTGGCGCACTCAAGTGTCAGATACAGAGGATGCTCGATTAGTAACTAATGATTGTTGACACCTAAATTTTGGCTAACCATTTAATAATCAATGCATAGAAAATTAGGGATTAATCCTTAACCCCTAAATAAAAATATTGAAATTAGGTTGCATAGCATGTAGTTTAAAATCATATAGTTTAATTACATTTTGCATTGGACCGGCAGTGGCGAATGAACTTAAGGTTAGTCACGCGAGTCTAGCTCGCACATCGAGCAGTACTTGGCTAAGCTAGGGAGATAGGGGCCAAAAATTTCAAGGGTAAAAGCGGCCTAGGTTGTCCTAATTTAAGCTTCGATCAGCTCATTAAACTTTAAGAAGAGCTCAAAATAATTTGGGCCATTGAGGAATTAAATAGGAAAAACCAAGTTAAAGCCCATTATATTATAAAAGCCCGGTCAATTAACCTAGGTTTAGAATATAAATATGTGGTTATGCCCCTCAGTCAGGGGGGAGCATTCACAATTTCGGAACAGACAAGAGTGAAACACGTGAGCAAGAGAGAGAGAGAGAGAGAGAGAGAGTATGTGGTTATGCCCCTCAGTCAGGGGGGAGCATTCACAATTTCGGAACAGACAAGAGTGAAACACGTGAGCAAGAGAGAGAGAGAGAGAGAGAGAGAGAGAGAGAGAGAGAGAGAGAGAGAGAGAGAGAGAGAGAGAGAGAGAGAGAGAGAGAGAGAGAGAGAGAGAGAGAGAGAGAGACGGTCACGCGTCACCACCACCTCGCCACCTGCGTCGCCGCCTGACCAACCGCGACCATCGCCCGATCATTTGCAATCGCTGTCTGGCCCTTGCTCTCAACCGCGCCAGCCGCCATGCCTAGTCATGCCCTACCTGAGCTCAGCCAGCCCTCGAGCCGCTGCTACTACCTGCCTCAGCACACTCGTCCGCCACCCTTGCCACCTGGCCTGTGTTGAGCCTCTGCTGTGCCTGTCCCGTGCCCTGGTCCCAAGCCCCTGCTGCTCGACCTGTCGCCACCGATCAACACCTGGGCTCGCCGTGCTCGCTACCTTGCTTGTCGAGGCCTGCTATTCCGGCCCACCGCTGCATTGCCACACCAGCTGCCACTCGCTCACGGCCGAACTTGTGGCCGTGAGCTTCCCTGTCTCGAGCCGCTGCCATCGAATCCGAGCCCCTACTATTGCCACCAGCAGACCTGTTGCAGCCGCACCAAGCCCCGACCGGAACCCTTGCTATCACGTCACCCTCGCGGCCGACCCTGTAGCTGTGACTCGGTCCGTCATCCTGCTCGTTATTCTGTTTTGCGGGTGACGGGCCAAAATTCCTGACAATCCGTGAGCGACGTCGTCGTTCCTGTCATTGGCCGCCCTTCGCTGTTCACCTCGATCCGCAATCCCGATCCGCCGCAAATTCAAATTTGAAATATCCACAAAATTAGGTAAGATCATTATCAGGTATATTTTCCATAATATTTTAAATTCCTAGTTCGCGTAATTTGAATATTTTGTGG